AGAAGGTCACAGAGCAACTTCACCAACAGTGTCACTTCAGTTTAGAATCTTCTACCATAAAGGTTTTAAGTTGAGGAAAAGAGTTCTTTGTTAAGTAGCTGTTTAAAAAGCATTTAAGACATTTTCTAGTTTTAAAGATTGACGAAAACGTGGACATGGTTTGGAAAACTAATTTTCAGCATAAGAAAAAAATACTTGAAAGAAAGAAAGATGTTAGACGGGTACTCTCTTTTGTTAATTTTAATTAGACGTGTTTTATATGTATCCTGAGAGAAGCGTTCTTAACCACTTCCCAACCTGCCACGTCACGATGGATACGCACCATGAACCATGAAATGAACGGGATTTTCCTTTTACAGCAAATGTCACAGGGATGACATTATGCAATATTTTTTATACTTTCTGGAATTGCACCCAAGTAATGTTTTATTGTAGCAGATGTGTGACATCACATGAAAAACTTGTAAAACCTGCACGTGAAGGTCACACCTGCCAGTCCCCACTAGCATTTTAACTACGATTGTCTGGTTTGCTTCTCTGTGGCGGAGGAGGCAGCTTTGCGGGAAAGCTGTCCCAGGAAATTGTGTCTTCTGGACCAGCAGCTAGTTAAGCAAATTGTGTAACTGCCATTAAAATGTACCCAGCAGACATAATTTCACAAAAGAGGAGAGAAAACCACATTTGTACAAAAGTCACAGCTGTTCAGCTCCACATTTTGTACTTTTTATTAAAATTTTTTCCTTTCTTTATGAACAGCGACAGTTACACTTTTAGTTAGCAACTTTAGGACTTCTGAATACATTGCTAAGAGCAGCCCTATCACGGATTTGGTGTCTGTCAGGAAAAATCAGGCTAAATTCCTTCCGCGGCTACCGAGAGTCAAAGTTTGGTTTTTTGCTCTGTCTGTAGATCAAATTTAAAAATATTGAGTGAGGCCCATTATTCTTTAAAATACAGAACTGTGTGCTGCCTCCACAGCTCCAAATGAGTGCTGCTCTCCTGTGTTAAGATCCACACTGTAAGCATTCCTCTTTGTTCAGAGCTTGCTCCTGGTGACCAGATGTCCAGGGCCACTCTGGGCACTGGGGCTGGTGGCTCAGAACGTAGGCAGAAGCTGTCTCCCAGTGCTTCCATTGCTGGGACCTCTGCAGGAAACTGACTAGAAGGAAACCAGGAGGATCTGCTCTTGAGGAATCCAGTATTCTTTTCCAGTGACGCATCTCAAAGGCTTGTTTGGGCCATTATGGGTGAGAAATGCTAAATTTATGGGAGGCCTTTTGAGCAAGTTTGGCTTCTGGGCTCTGGAGTCACACTGTGGGGGTCCAAATTTCAGCCCTTTGTCTCATAATGTGTAGTACTGGGTAAGTCACCTAACTTTTTTAGCCTGGGTTTCTTCTTCTGTAAACTTAAGATGATTTAACTCATTATCCCCATAAAAGAGGATTATAAACATGGTGAAGACTATCCAGCACTCAGCTCAGTTGGCACAGACTAAGCACTCAACAAATGTTAACTATCTTGACGACAAGATGAAACTGATGACTGATAATGATGATGACTTTTCTGGCTTTTGAATATATCAAACCTATAATCTTAAAATTGAAACTTGTAGGAGAAATTGTATTTGTAGAATTGTAACCTACTAGGGTAAATTCAGTGATAATGGTTAAAACCTGTTCAGGTTGGGTTTCTAACTGTGTAAATTGTCTTCTGCTCTTGGTTGCTAGACTTTCTATCTGCCTGCCTGCCAGCAGGAAAGGTAAGTTTGTGCAACTGTGCCAGAGACACAACACAGATTTAAATCTGACATGCCCTTACTGAGGAAAGCAGGCCCACTCCGTTGCCAGCTTTTGGTCTATGTGCAGAGTGGCTAACTGCTAACATGGCTCTCCAGTGTCCCCACACCGGCTTTTCTGCTACAGAGCAGGAAGGCAGAATGTTTTTCATATCTTGTAAACAGAACTTGTAATTGCATACATAGCGTGTACTTAAACAAAAAAAAAATGATAATTCTACAAAGAATCCACTGTTCATTGTCATTAACAGCATTAGCGAATCAGCATTTCTTGACTATATATTTTCAAAACAGATAACTTTGTTTTGCTACTTCACTAAATATTAATTTTGCAAATTTAAAATATATGATTCCTTACGATGTTGACATTAAGGTTACCACTACAGTTATAAGCAGCATCTTAATCTAGGCAGTTTATGTTTTATATTTATGATACATACTGAGAAGTTGGTAAGTCTAAGTCTTAGAGTTAGATATTTACTGTTTTCCATATAATTATCTATAATAAATTAGGTGACTTTTTTTTCTAAGAAAAACACTCTGGACTGAAAGTGATGAATCACTTTTATGTTTACATATATGTTCTTTTCATAAACAAGACTATTATTCAGAACCAATATATACCTCATAAAAATAATAGTGGCATGAAGATGAGCCCCAGAGTCAAAACAAACTTTGTAAACAGATGTATTAAAATATTTCACAAGTTGTCTCTGTTGTGATGGAAGGTATTAAGTACTGCATACATTGTGTGTGTGTATGGGTCTCTGTACACACACATGTATATATAAAATAAATTGTGCCATTTTAATTATGTTTAAAATTTTTTCCAAAGTGTGTTTCTGACAAATATTAAAATAACATTCTAGTTAATATTACCTTTCAGGTTTGAACAATTGTCTCAGTTTTCTCCTTGGCTTGATGGACCTACACACATTTATTAAGATTGGTATACATTCTGAAATCACATAATGGGGAAAAGACTATGACAAACAATAGAACTGGATGTAACTGAAAGGAAGGTAAACTATTTTGACTCACTATGACCCATTTATACGACCTCATAATCATTTGGAATCCAAAACTATTAAAGCTGTCAATCTGATCTCATTACATGAGACTTGACTGCCTGCATTGTGAATCATTTTCTGACTACGGCTGTGATGGATGGAAAATAAAAGTAGAAAAATATACAGAGATTTTGGGCAAAGACAAATAAAAATCATTCAGAGGATAAAGATAACAAGAAAAATTGTCTTGTAGGGTCACAGCCACTATCCAAGTCAGTCACTGATGATAAGGGATCCACCAGCAGTAGATCTCTGCCTGAGGAACACACATCTCAAGATGAGGAAGGTGGGAAGCAGAGCTTTTGGACGTGTGGGCGTATCATCTCTTTGATAGGTGAGGAGGGCAGAGAAGAAAGGTGTGAGTTAAACACTCCTTTTTGCATCTGGAATACTGAAAGGAGCTGAGGACATGGAACACTAATCTGAAGAATTACAACAGGGCAATCATCAGTAAACTCTGACGTGCAGGTCAAATTTAACCAGCTGTCTGTTTTCGGAAATAAAGTTTTATTGAAACATAGCTCCATGATTTAAATGCTAGATTGCTTTCAAGATACAATGGCAGACCTGTGACAAAGGCTATATGGCTCCCCAAAATATTTGCTTTTTGAATCTTTATGGGGTTTGCCAATATCTGGACTGAGGAAGGGTTCTTATTTATTCTTTAAGGAAATGTATTAAAAGCAAGATACGGTATGTTTTACACTCAGTTCTCTTTCCTTATATAAAATTGCCTTAGAGTTCAGATGTAACAGGCTTAGGCACCACGCAGCTTGACTCAGTGAGCTGAGACAAGCTACCATTGCTTGGAGACATTTAGTGTTAAATTTATTCATACTACTACAGCTATATTAGTATTAAATATGTGAGTATTTTAATCGATTAGCAATTTAGTGGGACTCAGAGGCTTTAAGTATTTATAAACGATTCTCTTTTTATTTCTGTGACTAGAGATGCCTCTGTGTATTTACCTTATTTTTGTATGTACTGAGTGTCCTCAGGACATTAGACATGAGAGACTACGTCTACAGATTACGTGCAGCAAATGAGCTGAATTCACCTTTACTGTGGATTGGTAAATGGCTGACTGTGGGGCCAAAATTGGGGCTTTTCCAAATGAACATGGTAGGTCAAAGCATTCAAGACAAGTGTTATGAAGGAGATCCCCATGGGCAGGAAGTACACAGGTCTTACCTCTCTGTGCAATCAGCACAATACAGGGCTTGACACCTGATGAAAGCTCAGTAACTGCTTGAAAGTTATTATAAAAACAATTTAACACTAAAGCCACCAGTCTGTAACCCTTGGCCATGTAGCTAATTATTGCTAAATAGAAAATGGTTAGAGAAACCTGGATAAATAATGAAAATGTCTTTAACTTTTTAGTCTCTGCGTTTCTTGGGTGATATACTTTGCACAGGAATATGTAGGCTTTGTCATTCACCCAAATAACATTAGGAACATCACATAATAGATAAGAATTAAAAAAAAATTCTCTTTCAAAATAAAGGGTTCAAGAAAAATAAATTAGATATTTAAATTTTGAAAATTATGAATATTTCCTGATTTTCCTTAGACAAATAAGTATAAATAATTTAACCCTTAATAGGCTTTTTATTCAGAATAAAACATGGTAGGATACATTAATGTAATGTAATGTAAAAAGTTCAACTACTAAAAGAATAGCGTTGATATGCAATGGGGTTTTAAAAGAGAATAAAAATCTAAATTTTGATTTATTCTTCAACTGGAAAGTAAGGCGGATTCATTTCATTGACTTTGAAATTTGGTGAACTAGAACATCTCTTTTGCACAACCAGTCAGCTCTCAATTTTGATTGCAACATGAAAGGCATTGACTTCGCTATCTTTAATTATCACTCATTTAGAGGACAGTGGGAAACACACTTTTCCAGTGGGTATTATAGAAGCACAAGTCAAAGAAAAGGACTAACAAATTAATCAGCTGGAGAAGCAAGAACCAGCTCACTAGAGCTGCTGGAGTCTCTGTGGATACTTCAAAGTAAGACAAAAGGGAAATAAAGGGGCTGTTAGCCACACAAGCTCAATACATGAAATACTAACATAATTTCACAACGTATTAATAAGAAGTTAATATCACACTTAGAGACTTACTCAACATAATAAGTGCCATAAATGGGATCATCGATTTTTTCCCAGCCATATGGAAGCTCTGAAAAATAAAGAGTTATTTCTTTCAGTAAATAAAGAACAGATATCACAATTTCCAATATAAAGTAATATAATTTAATTGTGCATGGATTACCGAAATGGTATACCAAAGTGGAAGAAGGCATTCAGAGTCAGCACCAAATTCCAGACACACATTGTAGAAACTATAAGAAGCACTGACTTGAAAACTGGCAGCAAACACATGAGCTCTCCTCTGCAGAGATACTGGGGGTCTAGCCACTTATCTCATGCCAAAAGGTAGGATGGCATGTCCTCCCATTATCGCCATTTAGTGCAATACAGAAGGCAAGTCACTTTCCTGAAAGTGCATATGGTTCTCTTATTTATTTGCACTGTTAAAAGAGTATTTCAAGATAAAGATCATATTTTCAAAATAGTATATTTCTGAGGATAGCAAATTGTTTCCAAGGACTGAAATGAAGACATAAATTCTCAGTGAAAGCCCCACTATTTGGACGGTTAGCTTGCTGTCCACTACACATGGGTCAGAATTTCAGTGCTGCCAATATAGTCTTTCTGGGTATATTTTAAAAATAAAGCCTAAAATTGTGAACATACTTTCTTTGATAATATAGTTCATATTTTGAATTCTTCATGGATCAGTTGAATGCATGCACACTTAAAACATTAGCCATACTATAAATGCTACAATAGGCAAACACATATTGTTTGAAAACTAGACTTTGCTTTATCATATTGTTTTCCAAATACAATGAACTTTTGTAATTATTAATGCTACAAATATGAAGGAAGTGACAGTTTTCATATGTCAATTTTCCATATATAGAATTTGAAACAAGATATGTTGACATGCTTACATACTACATTTAGGTGAAAAAGTTCTACTATTATAGTAGTAACATGTCACTGCAGACAAAGCACAGCTATAAAAAGAAAATCAGAATTATCTACAATCCTATCATCCAGAGATAACCAATTAATAGTGCATATTCCTCAAATATTTTTCTATGCATATTTATGCAAATAATTTTAAAGAAAGTACATCATATAATGCATATCATTTTTACAGCTTGACATTTCTGATAAATATTAAGGACAGTTTTCAACATAAATGCTGACTCCAATATCACTTGTAAGGTGACACAGTGGTAGTCTGTGGGATGGCTAGAGGCTGTGTAATTTCACCATGTTCTATTATTGAACATCAGAGGCCTTTCAGTTATCCGTTGTGTAGCATCCGTGTTGGGCCTACTAAAGTCTAAATCTTTTATAATTTTCCTAATAATTTAGTAGTGACAAATTCCTAGATACGGGAGTTTGGATTAAAGGGCAGGCATTCTTCGATGTTTTTTGATATATGTTGCTAGATTACCCCTTCCCACTCACAAGAGAGTACCAATTTGTAATCACTGCAAGTATATGAGTGTTTTTGCCCTCTGTACCACAAATTAAATATAGATGCACAATTCCTCATCGAAAATGTTTAAGGACATATGGCTTTTGGGATTTAGAATTTTTCTAATTTTAGATCGTTAATAGGATACAAATGCCTTCTTTTTTATAACACTCTAAGCAGAGCTGGATTCTTTATAGTAGAACACATGAATAATTCTACAGCCAAACACATGCAATTCATATGAACAGAAATATCTTAATAAACTTATACCACCAAATTGTAGAGCACCTTAAGAAATCTTTCTTTCAGAATGATAATCAGAGTAAAGTATTACTATTACTGAGTATTCACTGTGGTTCAAGTTCAGATGGACTCTTCATATACTAACTTATCTTATCCTAATAACTCAGGGTTCAGAATCCCTGTACTCTGGTTCTAGTAATCTTAACCAATTTAGATGTCGATTCAGAAACTCTGTTTAACACAGCAGTTTAGGTTGAGGAGAATAATTGTCCAGATGGTTTTCACCAAATCTCCCAAGTTATTGGAAAAGTTGACTATTAAAAAGAAGACAAGTATCTACCTAGTGCCTCGTATAAAGAGCTAAAGGAAAAGAATACAGAGAAAACAGCAATTGATATTATGGATAGTTATTATTAATACAGCTCAAGACATGCATATGTATTTATGACAGGTTTAATATCATCTCATGAATATAATAACACATAAAAACAATCATGTTCACTAATATAAAAAGTAAAAGGCTAACTGGGTAACTTCCAGATATAGTCCTACTTCTTAATGCTAGTGCCATACAGAAGTATTTCATTTACAATTATCTTTTATAATGTAAACAATTCCTTCACTGATTCCTCAACTTTAGCTCTTTTTATGAGTCAATTACTAGTTCTAAGCAATGTATCCCAGAAGTACAAAGGTCATTGATTCTTTGTCAACGCCAGATGTCTTGGGAATAATTTCATTATATATTGTCCCACTTGCTATCATGAAGTCCTCAGACTTTAGGTGAATCTTCTTTGCTTATTGTAAGATGTGACTATTTTGTTGTTTGCTTGCTTGTTTCATATATCTAAAGTCAATTATCAATTTAGTGAAACAAAATTATACACATATATAGAAAATATTTTAAGATCAACCATTACTGGTCCGCTAAGCACACTCTGAGACAAAATAATACACTGTAGTTCTAACTTTCTGTTACAAAAGGCTGCCATTCATTTCATTTTAAGTATTTTCAAGAAATTGATGGAAGGATATTACAAAAAAATAGGAACAGAAACATATATTGCCATATTAGTAGCATTGCTTCATTGTGTCAGAATTGTAAAAAAACAGTGTGTGTGTACGTGATATATATGTGCATGTATGTGTTGGTACATGAGCTTATGCGGGTTTATGTATATTCCCTTTAATGAGATTTTTCTTGTAAAGCAAAAAGAAAAATCTAGGCTAGAATGCTAATAAAAACCCACAATGTTCACAAGTTTTTCTTCACCCATTAAAAAAAAAAGCCATAAAACAAATTTATCATTATAAACTGAAGAGTACATAGATAGTGAGAAGTTAAGAAAGTTAAAAATTATCTTTCTTTGTAAAAAGTAAGTTATTTAGACTTGAATTAGCTTTACAAAACCAATCATTCCTCCTTTAATTCAAGCTAACAAATGAGAAAAAGAATTTCAATAGTGTACTATTTGCCCAATCAGGCAAGCATATAGCTTGGAGCTCTTGGGTCCCAGGTTATTTAGAATACTGTATTCAACAATACCTAACAAATCTGCAGATGATTAAGGTCAGACTGATGAAAGAATAACATATACTGTGCAACTGGGAAAAACAAACACTTGAGATCAGCAAGGTTAATGCTGAACTAAGAACTGCTTTAATTGAGATTTTCTTCAGGTCACTGAACCATGGAGCAAATTCAGTGATTTTCCTACCCAGTAAAAGTCTGTGAAAAAGTCTAGGTTAACTTAGTCAGATTCATCTTAGCTTTGTAAAACTGGAATAAAATCAAAAGATTAAGTGGATACCTAGCTCTGTCTGGACTCTATCACAGTCGCTAAGCTTTTTTTTATTTAATTGACCTTTCCAAATACCATTTTACTTATTTATTTTTTAGGTAGGTACATTTTCATTACAGAAAATTGAGACCCCTTGATACTAGCTCACAAAAAGTTGCAAATGGGAAGCTTGTAAAATTCTAAAGCCTGCCTGCCTGCCTTCTTTACTTCCTTCCTTCCTTCTTTTTTTTCTCTTACATGATAAGGTCTGCCTAAGTTGCCCAGGCTGGCCTTAAGCTCCTGAGTTGAAACAATCATCCTGCCTTGGTCTCCTGAGTAGCTGGGATGGTAGCTACGCACCACTCTATTTGGCTGTAAAGACTATATTTCTCATAAAAATGGGCCCCAAATACTGGAGAGCTATAAGGAACCTAGCATACAATATCTCAAGCTATCTGGCCCAGTGCAATGGTTCATGCCCAGCACTCTGGGAGGCCATGGCATGTAGCTTGCTTGAGTTTAGGAGTTTGAGACCAGCCTGAGCAAGAGCAAAACCCTGTCTCTAAAAATATCCAGGTGTTGTGGTGGGTGCCTGTAGTCCCAACTACTTGGGAGGCTGAGGCAAGGGTTGCTGTGAGCTATGATGCCACATCTCCTTTTGTCTGCCTCTCATTCTTTAGAAATACAGCAAGTCCTTTCTGTGGTGTGTCTGTGTCTCTTTGTCTTGGCTCCTTTCCACTCTGTGCCTATCCATCCTTCCCTTCTCCTGATGAGCGACTTCCACTTGCTAACTTTTTTGTGTCCTGTAAGGGCCACCCCATACCTGGCTCTTGGTTACTTTTCATCTCAAGCACTGCTATCACTACTTTGGTCTCTCAGTCCCCCGATTCTATACCCCAGTTGAAAGAAGTCATTGGTCCAGTTTGTTTCCTTAAAAATAGATCCAAGTGACTTCGTTTGGCCAATCAATGTGATGGGTTCCCTCAGGTTCACAATCTACCACAGATTACTCAGGTATGGTTCAGGGACTGTGCCCCTTTGGTGGATGTGGAGACATAGAGCCATGGATGTGAGGTGCCACAAACATGTTTATTATAATAATAAGAAAAATAGCTTTAAAAATAAAGAGAAAAAACTTCAACAGCATGACATAGAGACTCTTTAACCTTTCAAATCAATGATTGAATGGTTTATAAATAATATCTATAACAACAGCTTTGACCCAGGATTAACGTGAGTAAAAAGATCTTAACATTCTGATCTCGTGCACTGGGAAAGACCTGACTTCACTTCTGGAGTATTCTTCCCCAAAACAAACCAGTTTATTGTGATCATGAGGAAACACAGAGTGAACTCAAATGGAGGGACATTCCATGAAATAACTGGCCAGAACTCTTCAAAAGCACCAAGATCATAAAGACAAAAACAGACTGACATCTAACCACAGAGAGAAGGGGACTCTGGAGACATGATGACCTAGTACATCCAGGACAATGGACTGGAACTTGGACCAGAAGGACATTAGTGTAACAACCAGCAAACTCAAATAAGGTTTAGAGATAATTGTCTGAATGAATGCTAATTTCCTGGTTTCAGTAA